AAAAATTTTATAACTGAGCATCATTTTTCATTCCTGAGCGCAACATTTAAACTTTTTCCCAAAACTGCCTAAAAACACTTTTCTGGGCCTGTTTACTCAAAAATTTGCCTGCCGCTCAGAAAATTTGGTCAAAATAGAGTCTTTATAGTGATATGCGAGAGCTCGGAAAATCAATTTCTTCGACGTTAAAACAGGTTGACTAAATTGGTCAAAACATTTTAGAAAATCCGCAATCCCCTCTCCCTCGAGAAAATCATAGATCTACCTAGATCAAGACCAACAAAAACAGCAGAGATGAAATTAAAATTACAGTTTTGAACCACCATTCACAAGTATGGCTCTAAATTAAGCTTGCTTGAATAAAATTGAGAAGATGACACTAAAAAAATTGATACAATTACTGGGTTCATATACCTACTGCGAGTGAACGCCTACTATGTTATTTTTTTTCGTATCGATGAGTATTTGAATGAATCTTAATTGCTGTGTTAACTATACGTATAGTTTCAAGGTCAACAAAAACCTCAGAACTTTCTTTTTCACCGATTGATGTACTCCAATTTTGGATCGACCGAATGCGTCCACCGAATGTCCGCTTTTCAACTCAGGTTATATAGGTCAATCAAAAATTCGCTCGAGACAAGAGTCGATCAGATTCGACGCATAAAACGACCAGCGTCAATACATGAGTCGACCAGGTCAATACTTGAGTCGGTCAGAGTTGATACATAAGCCGACTAGGGTCAATCATCGTGGATCAGAGTTGATACATGAAACGACCCGGGATACAAAAAAATTAATACTTTAGAAAAAAAAGTCATGAAAAAGCCAGAAACAAAGAAAAAACAAAAATATAATAAATACTTGGATAGCCGGTTCTTGTGCAAGCACCCCAGAATGTTTTGACCATAGTCTTTAAGAAACCCACGCAAAAAAAAACTTTTTTTTTCAAATTAGTGTCGTTATTTCTGCGTGGTGTGATTAAAGGATCTGATCAGAAAACTTGAAATAAAGCACTCTCAACAGCCATAGTAAAATAGTTAAATCGGCCAAAAATGTTGAAGAAAATTGTGGCAGAAACAAAAAAAACGTAGAAAAAATCAAATAAAGTCACATTTTTTTTCAATTTTTTTGCAGATTTTTTTAAACTTGATTCTCAAAATGACGTTAAAAAACTCCAAAACTTCAAAAACTAACTTTACTCGAGTAAAACTAAAATTAAGCATAATTAATTTATTGTAAACGGCTTAAATTAAACATAAACAAACCTGCTCGGTCCTTTGCTCGCTCAAAATTAGATAAAAACCAAAAACTTGAGACCAGTTTTTCTCGACACTGTGACTTGTTTCGGAAATTATGATTCAAATCACGACTGAAAGGGTTTTAATATGACATATCATTTAATCCAGTCCGGATGATTATTTGTTTTACCAGATTTTGCGTGAAAAAAAGAGAAAAAAAAACTAAAACACACCAGAATACAAAGCTCCCTCCCATTTTCGAGGCTTAAATTTTCTTTCAATGATATTAGAGCAGAGTCAAAATCTTTTAAAAACAAACATCAAAACTTTATTTGGTTTTTTTTGCTCAAGGCTTTTTTGTTTCATTAATTTGATTTGTTCAGATAATCAAAATTCAATTGATTTTCATGTGATTTTTTTTCATTTGTTTCTGTTTCGGAAACAAAACAAATGCAGCTTTATAAGCTGCAAACAGACAATAGTCTCCTTTTAGCAGGTTTATGATACCACCAAAATCCTTGTTTCCTTATTCAGGCTTAAATTTTCTTTCAATGATATTAGAGCAGAGTCAAAATCTTTTAAAAACAAACATTAAAACTTTATTTGGTTTTTTTTGCTCAAGGCTTTTTTGTTTCATTAATTTGATTTGTTCAGATAATCAAAATTCAATTGATTTTCATGTGATTTTTTTTCATTTGTTTCTGTTTCGGAAACAAAACAAATGCAGCTTTATAAGCTGCAAACAGACAATAGTCTCCTTTTAGCAGGTTTATGATACCACCAAAATCCTTGTTTCCTTATTCAGTTTTTTAGATTGTTCAAGAAAATTATGTTTTTGTTTTCATGAACAATCCAAAACGACCAGCGTCAATACATGAGTCGACCAGGTCAATACTTGAGTCGGTCAGAGTTGATACATAAGCCGACTAGGGTCAATCATCGTGGATCAGAGTTGATACATGAAACGACCCGGGATACAAAAAAATTAATACTTTAGAAAAAAAAGTCATGAAAAAGCCAGAAACAAAGAAAAAACAAAAATATAATAAATACTTGGATAGCCGGTTCTTGTGCAAGCACCCCAGAATGTTTTGACCATAGTCTTTAAGAAACCCACGCAAAAAAAAACTTTTTTTTTCAAATTAGTGTCGTTATTTCTGCGTGGTGTGTTTAAAGGATCTGATCAGAAAACTTGAAATAAAGCACTCTCAACAGCCATAGTAAAATAGTTAAATCGGCCAAAAATGTTGAAGAAAATTGTGGCAGAAACAAAAAAAACGTAGAAAAAATCAAATAAAGTCACATTTTTTTTCAATTTTTTTGCAGATTTTTTTAAACTTGATTCTCAAAATGACGTTAAAAAACTCCAAAACTTCAAAAACTAACTTTACTCGAGTAAAACTAAAATTAAGCATAATTAATTTATTGTAAACGGCTTAAATTAAACATAAACAAACCTGCTCGGTCCTTTGCTCGCTCAAAATTAGATAAAAACCAAAAACTTGAGACCAGTTTTTCTCGACACTGTGACTTGTTTCGGAAATTATGATTCAAATCACGACTGAAAGGGTTTTAATATGACATATCATTTAATCCAGTCCGGATGATTATTTGTTTTACCAGATTTTGCGTGAAAAAAAGAGAAAAAAAAACTAAAACACACCAGAATACAAAGCTCCCTCCCATTTTCAATGGTCGGAACAACAATTGAATTGATGCGTTCAACGTCGTAGGAAAATATAATTTTGATTCAATGATCTTTAGTCAGAGAGTCATATTCTGAAATTTTAGAAGACACATTTCAACTCTCTTGACTGCAGAAAAATTAGGTAGAAAACTGACAGATAAAATTTACTTCTATTTAAGACACAATTCGGTTATATTAGGGATAGAAGATGCTAGTTAATGTTCCGACTTTCTAAAAAACGCGAGGAATTTTATGCTTAGCTTCGTTTGTTTTTTTATACCATTATTTATTGAATGAATGTTGAGGGGGATCGAAACTAGAACTGAGAATACGAAAATCAGTGCTAGGTCATTACCCTTTTCCGCGAATTGAGAATACGAAAATCAGTGCTAGGTAAATAAAAAGCGTATCACGAAACTGGCAAGTAATTTGGCCATAACATTTCGTCATTCGGGGGGAGGGGGCTTCATCCGACGATAAACTTTTGACAGTGTGCTGAAAAACTTCAGTAATTAAAAATTTTGATATTTTATATGTTCTGAAGATTGACCCCTGGGTCGAAGCCCCTGGACTAAATCCAGACCTTAAAAGCCACATCCGGATCCAGATCCAATTTGGATACCAAAATTTTGTCGGAAAAATCCTGACATAAGAAATCGCGGACCTCAACACGTGCCGGTTGGTCAGAAAGTTTAAAAGTACTTATTTTGACCAGCTCAGATGCATTCCGAAGTCATTGGAAAGCGAGCGGAAGCAGCATCCTTTCGTATGTCCAGACTTTCGCGGACCACGGCGCGACTCATGTCCAGACGGTGCGTACCCACGGAGCCGCATTCCCGGATAGCCGAAAAAACTAAATACCTCCCATTTTAATTAAATTAAGTCAGTAAACTCTTCAATAAATTGAGACGAGTTTTGATTGGTCAAAAAATGCCTCAAAACTTTGCAGCCTGTTAGCTAACAAAATTCCAAAAAATTTTAAGAGATTTGATTGGCTAATACTTTTACTCTCAATGAATTAATTAACAACAAAAGTCCGACCTCTGCAGGGATTCGACCCCCTCGCCAACCATAAAGTCCCTCTTTGGTAGGTTTTATGATATCCATTTTCGGCCGACAAACCCTAAAATTTTTCAAAATATGCAAATTTTAAAGAAGAGCAGGCGCAATTTTTGGTCAAAATTTTTCAAAAAATCGCAAAAACGGCGTTTTGGCCTGTTTTTTTAAAACATTTGTGACCCCCCCCCCTTCGAGAAAATCCTAGATCCACCCCAGCATTAACCTTATAATCGATTATAATTTCGGTTGGGGGCCCTTAATTTGGGCCCTCAGTTTGGGGGCCCTTAATAGTTTTTATTGTTTACCAGGAGGGGGGGCATGGTGGGGTAAACGTGGGTAGGGGACGGGGATAACTGGCAGGAGGGTAAGGAAAAATGATGGGACTAAGTGTCTGTGTGTGGGGGGGGGGGAGTAGAGAAAGGGCGCCCTAAATAAGAAGGTGCCCTAAATAAGAAAACAATGTTTTTAAGTAAGCTTGTAGGATCTCTTTTACTATTCCTCTTATGGTAACTAGTAACGAATCTCTCCCCCCTCCCCTTATTAGGAAATGGGTAAGGGGCTAGAGGAGGGGGGGGGGGTAATTGTTGAGTCGATCCAAAATTTCGACTATCCGGGAACGAATTTATTTTTCGGCTATCCGGGAACGAATTTGTTTTTCGGCTATCCGGGAAAAAAATTATTTTTCGGCTATCCGGGTATTCGGCTCCGTGACACGCCACCGTCCAGACTTTCCAGACTCCTCAAACTCTCGGCGCAATTTGGGTATAAATTCGGATGCGGCGCGACCCTCAAAGTCTGGACATGAGTCTGAGACCTCGACCCGGGAACTGGAACTGAGGCAACCTGGTTCAAAAGAGCCAGAGGCGGCAACTCGACAAGACCAAAAAGATTCAAAGTCGCAGCAAATTTCTTCTCCAGAAACTTCAAGCGGTGTTTGGTTTTTAAAAACCATATTGTAATGCCAAAAAGGCAAATTCGAATTAATTATACAAGAGCAATTAATTGGAACTTACCTTGGACGCAGAGTTGAGTTGATTTGGTTTCGTCCCTGAATTTATGGTGTCTTAGAGATCATAATTTTACTTCTAGTGAATTTTGGCGAACAGAGCCGAAACTTAATCGAAGATGAATAGGCGTACAGAATGAGGTTAACAAACTTTTGGAACAGCAGTAAAAACAAAATTGAAGAACAGTCATTAAAAATATAACTTGCTTTATTGACTGAAGTTTTATTTGCGATGACAAGTTTTTGAAAAACAAAAAATGAGTCACTCAGCACAGAAAATTAAAGGCCAAAAAACTTTTAATCTGAAAAATGACATAAAACGTGTTGTTTCTAAAATAAGTCAGATAACTCATTAAAAACTCGATTTTTTACGCACGTTTGTTTATTTCGAATTATTGATAAAATAGTAAAACGTGCTAAGTGACGCAGCAAATGTATTGTAGTCTGACTTGCAGGCTGAGACTGAGTAAATTACGTCGCCTATTGCGTAAGAACTAATATTGTATTATGTAATTCCGTGTACAGGTCATTGACTGAATAAAAGTGCGTGAATAAAATTATCTGGCAGGACAAAAAAATTACTTAGTCTTACAGACTAGATAAATAAATAAAACAAGCAGTATTATGAATTTTTTCCTCACAAAATGACCGCCGGTAAATTTTTTTTCGGTATATATACATTGGTATTTTTCTGCATTCTATGAAAAAAAGATCCAATGAAAAAACCATAAATATCAAAACGGATTTTTTTCAGCACTGGAATTAAAAATTAGATCCCGTCCGTATTTAAAAACGGAACACTTTTTAAATCTGATTGACCTCTAAAAAGTTCAGTGACAGCAAAAGAGAAAAATAGCAGGACATTTCCTACCAGCGTGCAACGAACCTACTGACAGAAAAGCCTAACCATAGTACACCGTTCACACTAGAACCAAAAAAAAATCTCGCCAGCTTGACAGAAAAACAATCGGCCAATTTTTTGACAGAAGGGTTCAAAAAAACTCAATGAAATTGGTACACAATTGGCAGCAGATCACAAAATTTTAATTATCGAAGTTTCGAGCTTGGAATAAAACGAAAATACCATATTATTTTGAGACGACATTATTCTCTATTGATGCTTTTCTGCGTTTTGACATATCGGCTCAAAGCATCAACTACTTTTACTGAATAAGCTTAAATGGAAATAAAAAATCTATCCTAGTTCCTTTTTTAGCTAAGAGGAAAATACGGCCGTGCATTTGTCTTTTATTCTCTTGTGGCGCGTGCTCTTTTCAATCGACAAGCAAGAATACCTTTTTTTCTTTTCCCCAAATTGAACTTTCAGCTCTGGGGGATTTTTTCTAATTTCCACGGTCATTTCCTTAGTTTTGGGTTAATTTGTTGATATAAAAGGTTGGTGGCCCGTTAAGATGTTTGGAAAATGTGAAATAACTATCAAATTCACGTCCCTGTTGTGAATTAATTAAAGAGAAGATTGAAAAGAAAAATCGCTTTCTGATGTTTTGATACCATCTCACGCGTCAAAGATGGTCATTTCAGGCCATCAAAAATGTTCTGAGGAAAAATGACCGGGAACAGATCAGTGAATTGAAAATTGAGGTAGTTATTTACTGATTATATATCTTTAAAGCTTTCAAAAATAACGAAACAGATCAAACAGACAGTAAAATGGCCTGTTTATAGGTCGACTACTTGAGCGTCCCATAGCATTAAACATAGAATGACCTACACAGGGTCGCGTTCAAGTATGAGGAGATAAAATATTGTTTTTTCAAAAATTGATTTGAGGGCAAACTGAATTTCTTGAATTCATTTTTGAGTTTCAGTCTAATTTCAAAAAGAAAAGCCATCAAATAACTTTGGTTATTTGAATATTTTAGGCTCAGAAAACTTAATTTTTTTAAAATGAAATCAACTTAGCGCTTACTAGGCAAAAACTTTTTTCACAAAAATTTTTGAAATTTATTGTGGAAAATTTTTTGAAAAACTTTCTTTTCTGATCTACTTAACAATCTGCCCCCTATGGTACCTAATTAAGAATCTCCAACCCTATGAAAAAATGCAGTAAATTAGCCTAGAGTTTTCTATTGCGAATTCTGACTTTGCTGAATTCTGACTCCCCTTTTCTTGATTTTCAATATGATCTATGAAAAAAAGTTTAGAATCAATTTGAACAGCTAATAATCGGATTAATTGTGTCTCTTTGATAGCTATTATGTTCAATTTTACGTCTGATTTTCCGCTGCTCTTCTTAGATAGTATCACTGTTGTTTGACCATTGAAGATTGAGAAAAACTATGTATTCGGATTTGTTTGAGTTTTTTCCACGCAAAATCAGGTACCTCAAATAGTCATCGGGCTGGTTTTAGTGATATATCATATTGAAACCCTTTCAGTCGTGATGCAAACCATATAAAAAATTTTCCAAAAAATTTCCCAGTGTCGAGAAAAACCAGTTTGAAATTTTTTGGTTTTTTTGTCTTATTTCGAGCGAATTAAGCGAGCAAGCAGGCGTGCACTAGCTTAATTATGCCTAATTGAAATCTTAAAAAACTTAATTTTAAGCAATAGTTTTGTGGAGTCTCTAGCTACATTTTAGAATCAAAAACTTTACAAAAAAACTTCTGCAAAAAAATTTAAATTGAAAAATTTATATTGAAACTTTTAAAATTTTTTTCTCGATTTTTCTGTTTTTCTAGCTATTTTTTGAAAAAATTGTCCAATTGACCTATTTTACTATAATTTTCGAATATGCCTAGCTTATACTTTTACGTCAGATCCCTTTATCACACCACGCAGAAAAAAAACTACACTGATTTGACATTTTTTTCTGTAGTTTTGTAAAGACTATGGTCGGAACATTCTGTGCTACTTGCAGAGTAACCGGCTACCCTTGTTTCATTTCATCTTACTTTTTTCGGAAAATTTTAACCGCACAAAACAAGATAGCTCAGTGATTTTTGTTTGAAATTTGGATTCGAAACTGGGGGAGGGAGTGGAAGCCCTAACTGGAAAGCATAAGATTTCTAGTAAGATTGACCTCCGCTTTTTGTGCGATTATGCAGTTTCTAGGTTTGCATGAATAGAAATGATTTGTTACCTGCTAATCCAAATCACAAGTTGTAACATAAGAAATAATCAAAATTTACGTTCATCAAATTATTCAGTCAATCTATTTATTGTCAAAAATAGCTATACTTTTTTGCTGTTGAGCTCTTGATTCAGACCTGCATCATTTTTGTCTCAATATGTATCAGTTTCTTCTGATGCGAGCGATAATAAAAAATGTTGCCATTTTTTTATCGGAAAATATTTAGAAGACGACTTTTCCTAGAAATTTAAGGACATTTGGACAATTCATTTTTTTTTGTTTTTGTTTTTCCGCAAAATAGGCACCACAAATGATATTGAGTGGTGTTAATTTTTGATGAGAAAAATTTTTGACACATTTTGTTGCTGATATTTTATTCCTGATGGAGGTATCGCAACCCAGCTTTTTTACGTTTTAGCAGATTCGATTTTGGTTATTTACAGGAAATAAAGTTTTTCTATTTTTCTGACATTCAGAAAAAAAGATTATTCAATTGTGCTAGGCGTGGTTTTTTCTTTAGACAAACTTCGAGTTTTTAATTAGCCACTTTTGAATGGATTATTTTATGTAATCTGAAAGATATTGAAGCCCTGAGCTCAATTTCAAGAAAGTTGTCAATTTTGCTTATTAGCGACAACTAACGCAATTAAAGCAAGCTATTCGGAACTATTAATACGTTGTTTGACGTCATTACATTTGTTTTAAGCTTATCAATTTTTCATTTAAATTTTTTAGGAAAATGGTTTTTCCTGAACCTTAAGCGGCAGTCGGATTATTAAGGGCTCTGACCTGATACGAATAATCTTGCTCTGGTTTGTGATTGATTTTTAATTTATAAGTTTTACATTACGTTAAATTGATAAATATTTGTTATTATTGATGATACGCAAGGCTCTTTTCAAACTGCCTTGAATTTCAAACCGAATGATAGACAACTAATTCAATATGCTCATAATATAGAGAACTTTGAATGGCGAAATTTTTTTTTGTATCTATATGTCATTAACATGTTCAATCACGCAACTATTTTTATGAGCATAAAAAATAAGGGTCGTAAAAATTCAAAAAAATAGAGGGTCATTAAAAGACTTTATGCTGACTTGTAACAAAAAAATTGGGGTTAGAAAAGAGCCGAATTGAACGTTTTGGGCCAGATTTTAGTTAGTCAGCCTGTTTTTTCTCTCTCTTTTTCATTTTGTGTTCTATGATGTATGGCTTCTCTCCTAATGCCATTTATTGTCCCTCCCACTTTTCCATAGTGGCCATGATCCAGGGGGCGAAGTGGGTGACATTGGTGAAGAAGCTCTCCGGATGGCCCAGCTGGTCCGTCCTCCTCTGAGTGTACCGGAAGAAACTGGCCACCCCGTACAGACAACTGGGCTGCTGACTCACTGGGTCGAACTGGTACAGAGGAGAGCCCAAGTCACCGTAGCTGATTTTCGCATCTGAAACATAATGAGTTGTTAAAAGTTTGAAATTTGACAGATTATAATTGATTTCCAAAATTTAAACAGACAGATTTAAATTAAAAGGAGGTATCTGTTGATTTTGATCAAACTTTGCGAGCAACTTTGAGGCGTAAGCTCAGCCTGAAAAGCTGGTGTTTGAGTCTGAAATGGGTTGTTTGCAGGGAGCGGAAAAAAGTAAATACCTTTTATACTTTTTTTCTATACTTTTTTGCTCTTTCGAGAAAGAGCAAAAAAGTATAGAAAAAAAGTATAAAAGGTATTTACTTTTTTCCGCTCCCTGCAAACAACCCATTTCAGACTCAAACACCAGCTTTTCAGGCTGAGCTTACGCCTCAAAGTTGCTCGAAATGCAGCTTGTGATGACAATCCTGCCGAAATTGTTCATGCGCAGATAACATCACGTGAAGTACAAAAAATGTTTACCATTTTGAAACAAAAACTGCGCCAATGTCAGAAAATATTAATGAAAACGTGAAGAAGTGTTGGTAAAATTCTACGTATTTCTTACTTTTTTTTTCACTTTTTGGCCTCCAAAAACAATTTAAAGTACTTTTCAAAATAAAAAAATTTTTTCTCCCATCGCTGGTCATTTTATTTTGTAAATCGTTTTTGTATATTGCAGTAAAATATATGGTAAATTAGTCAGGGGCAGATTTAGGGGGGGGGGGGGCGGATGCCCCCTCTTACTTCAGGGATTTGACACCTTGCCGACCCAAAGGGTCCCCCCTTTGGTACTTTTTAAGAAATCCATTTTTGGCCGACCGACCCTAAACTTTTTCACCAATATATACTAATAGAAAGGGTCAAATTTTTCGCGAATATATACTAACTCAGAGTGGGCAGTGCGCGCCAAAAAAAACGCGATTTTTTGTTAAAATTTTCCAAAGGTGCCCGAAAACGACTTTTTCTACCTTTTTTTTCAAAAATTTGCCTGCGGCGCAGACAATTTGGCCAAAAAAGCGCCTTTTTAATGCTTTAGGAGAGCTTGGAAAGTCAATTTGGTCGACCTAAAAAAATGTTTAAATTTTCGAAATTTTTTTGAAAATCCGTCCCCCCCCCCCCCCCCCCCCCTCGAATCCGCCCCTGAAATTAGTCAAACTCCAAGAATCATGATCAGTGCAGTTTTTCAGTTTGGATAATAATTTTTCAGTTTGGTAAAAAAATTGACATTTGTGGCCTAATTTTTTAATATATGCCGGCAGCGCAGAAAATTTTGGCTATAGAATATCTTATTGGCGTTAAATAAGAGCTAGCAAAATCAATCTTGGGGGTGATCCAGAAAAGAACAACAAATTTTCGAAAATTTTTTCGAAAGTTTCTCAGTTTGATCTGATACATGATCCCTTGCGAGATGATCCCAGATCAGATCAACTCCGATTATTACAGAAGACAAAATTGCGAATTTTCTATGAGATAAAGATGAATTAGACACATCGCAATCAATCTTTTGTAAAGGAGATAGTTACCTGTTTCGTCGACACTGGTGCAGATGAGTTCCCCGTCACAGTACGTCGGCTCATTCACGATGGGGATGAAGGGCTCCCGGAAGTAGTCCACCTGGAAAAAAACAAAAACTCAAGTACCCAATTAAACTCTCACCCACAACTCCCCCCCCCCCCCCCCAAAAAAAAATCCTCACATACGCATCAGTTTTTTGGTGTAACGAGGGGTTTTACAAGGTTGAATATGGAGACCAAACATGTTTGTCGTGGCCTAATCAGTCCGCATGCCAATTTTGTAACAATCCTACAATGCGAACACAAAAATTACTTATGAAACCACAGGTGGGGGAAAGGAAAAAGCCCCTGGTTGCTGAGCAAAGAATGTTCAGACCGCATAGCCTTGCATAAAAAAGCAAAAAAAAAATCCAAAAAAGTTGAATTAACGTTTTTTTTAAACGAAGAGTGAAGTTCATCTGTTTTTTTAAATTAAAATGCCAATTATTTCTTCACAAAATTTTTTTTTGGAACCGGAACCACGACCCTAGGGTTTTACTAAGATCGGGGGGAAAAAATCACAGTGCGTCATAGTTTCTTCAACACTCCGTTAGTGGTTTGAATTATTATGATGCTGGAGATATGATTACGATACAACACTGTCGCATAAAAATTGAACGCAAGCAAACAGCGCATTTTGCAGAGTTGACAAAACTTATTTGGTATGAATGAAATTTTTGGTATTATTGGAGGACTATGATTAAATGATTTAATACTCGTTACCTAATTCGCGTTTTAACAAGGTCACAATTCCGCGTTTTGGGTAAAATTTTTCAAAGTCTCCATCAATCAAAACTTACTACTAACAAGACTGCTTGCTCGTTTATCAGGGCGAGGCCTTGAAGGTTACTTTTGCTTGAAACATTGATGAAACTATCAAAAACAAAAGTTTTTTATCAGTTCTTTTTATCCCCCCATAGGCTAATATCAAATAAAAAAGGCAGAACTTAGCGCCTCTTATTCTACAAATTGACCCAATTATTTGCCGCAATTTAATTACATCACGCGTTACTTATCAGAAACTGGCCAAACTACCAAATTTTAAACCACCCTATAACAAAAAAACCAACAGCAATATGAATACTCCGCATTAGCCTTCAGAGTCTGAACAACTATTTGCTGCCTAATAGAGCATAAAATCATAAAAGCAAATCTCTTAATGTTCCGAAAGCCCTTAAACGTCTTTGAAACAGTTTTTGAAATCATCAAATGAAAAAAAAAATGGAGAAAAAATTCTCCTAAATTTTTCGAGAACGAGCTCTTCCTTATCGAATTTTTTTAAAGCCTTTTAAGGGTCTAAAAACGTTTTAAAACGCCATATATCTGGCCTCCATTGAATTTGTAACAGTTTATGAGCGGATTAAACAGCCGCAGAAGCGTTAATAGCACGAAATTTCTCGCGTGTGAATTGTGCAAAACTTATTCAAATTGAAATTGTTCAAACCTCAAAAACTTTTCAAAAAATGATCACATATAAACTGTTTTATGTAATTTTGATCTGCAGATCTTGTTGGCTCAAATGGTACTATAAATTACGTTGACAAAGGACTAAATAAAAAATCGAAAGTTTTCTGGAGAAAAAACCACACCGCGAACAAATGTTCCGTCTTTCTTTCAAAAACTAAAGCAACAAGACCTCTATTGTTTTCAATCACAAGCTTTTCAATTACAAAAAAATCTTATAGAACACTCAAAAAATGAGACGATTTTGCATCTTTATTAAAATTTTCATTTCTTAAATTTACCCCCGCCTCCCAGAAAAGCTATGTAAAGAAGAAAGTTTTTTATGTTGCAGTAAATAATATATCTGTGATAGCGAAATTTGTCTATGTTCAAATCGAAAGGATTCAATTAGTCTCATACAATTCAATATAACAAAACATATTGCGCGTTGGTTATCCCAATTTGAACAATAGATGTCAAAGTAGTTGCAAAAACAAACCTTTATAATTTGCTTAAAAATGATCATAGGTGAACTTTTTTATATATTTGAGCATAGGAGAACGATAATTTTTACATGGTACGCAAAATCTTTGTCAAAAAGCTCAGTTAAAAAGTCGAAACTGAACTGAATAAACAAACCACTCCAAGCATAAATGTTCCGCACTTTTTTGAAAATTTTGAAGCAGTCACAACAAAGCCTTCATGAAAAAATAGTCTCTCCCACACCCTATAGTATCGACTAAATAATCTTCTCGCCTCGAAATGAAAACTGTAAATTACCACCAGACCTTCCTATAGTGAGTTTTAGCTTTGCTGCATTCTGATATGTCGAAAATTCGGTAAATTAAATTTTTTTATTAAGCTCCCTCCACTTTTCATTTAAGTAGATTCAAAAGTCTTATAGATAGACCCGACACTTAATTTGCTCAAGTTGCTGCTCTTTCAATGATAAGTTCTCTATATTGTTGGATTATTGCACTACTTGAAACAAATTTGTTATTATGATTAATAATGTTGTAAAATTGAGTAACTCGACCAGGTGACCTTGAGGTGTGCCTCTTTGAGCGAGTCTGCGTTGGTTCTGATCCCCTCCTCGTTCACTTGTCCCATTCCACACACCCCCACGTCGGTGTCCTGGGGAACCCTGTGCGAGCACAGAGGCAGGAAGTACTGCTGGTCATCTAATCACATCACATGGGGGCTATTCGCATGTGCCCAAAATCGAATGCCCGAAAGTTTTCAACCAATCAGAGTATTTAAAACTGCCGAAATTGGCTGATTTTATCACTTTTTCTTTCGAAATTTTGAATTATGGATTATGATTGGCTGGCAAATGTTTAGCGCATTCGGTATTTCACGCATGAAGAATTTCCCTATCAGATTTTAGTTCAAGTTAAATTAGATCAGTAGTGTCTTAGGTTGAAGGCGGGCGCTCCTTCTTCCCTGTGATTCTCGAACACTCGACTCCAATAATATATACTAGTTAAGAGTGGGAGCACAAAAAAGCTTCTAAAAACCTGAAAACTTTTTTTAACCTAGCCTGCGGCGCAAAAACTTAGTCAAAATAAGTTTTGTATAGTAATTTGGTCGACCTAACAATGAGGCAAACAAATTTTCGATGTCTTAAACCCCCCTCAATAAAATTATAAATCCGTCCTGCTGATGGCAATTATTGTTTGCCTGTAACAAGTCTTTAGTGGGGAAATTATAAAAACGAGGAGCAACTGTGTTTTAGAAAGACCCACAGAATTGTGCGAAAATGACCCTGGAGACAAACCTTTAAGTATGTCAAAACTTATGAGTGGAATTCTCTTATAAAATTATTGCGGAATTTACTAGTATATATCTTGAGTTTTAATTACGCTCAGCAAATTAAATGTATCGCGGAGTCTGCAACTATCAAAAAAATGTTGCCAATTTTTTTCAAAGATGCTAGCTTTTTGAAGGTGAAATTTAATTAATCAGCTTTTTGAGATTTTTTGAAGAAAAAAATGTCCAGACAAACGGAAAAATAATCCAACCTTTTGGTATCTGAGACAATGTTATGCACACAAAATTAACTTTTGCTTACAGTTATTTGGAAAATATTTGATTGAGTACTAAATTCGTTTTGCGCTTGTAAAAAAAATAAAAATAAAAACTTTGGGGCAATTTTTAAACCATTTTCCAAAAATGTATGAACTTGTATGACTAGCCTTTTTTCTTCGATTAGTTTATGGAATTTTTGGATTCGATATTTTGGCCTAATGTGGTCAACACGGTTGAATTCTAAAATAACATAAAGCTCAAAGACCCCTATCCACCGGCACTTAGGGATAATCTGAAATTCTTTATTGTGTCGTTTATTCTTAAAGCATAAAAGCGTTATTGGTAACCTTCCTTAACATTTCAGATCTGAACAAATCTGCTCGTATATCAGGCCAAAGCCCTGAATGTTCCGGCTGTCCCTTAATTCATATGGAATAGTTTTTGGGGAAAAATATTGAAAACCTATAAATTTGGACAATATCAAAGTATAAAATGTTGAGTGGTACGAAATAGATTTGCGTGCGAAAACTGACTGATTAAAAAAACCACAACGAGTATAAATATTCCGTTTTCTTCGAAAGTCGGAACAATCATACTCATAACAAGACTGCTCGTATATCAGGGCAAAACCCTGAATGTGCCGATTGTCCCTTAATTCGTATCGAATAGTTTTTGGGAAAATAAAGTATTAAAAATTTATACATTTTGGACAATATCAAAGTGTAAGTTTACGAAATTAATACGACCAATTAGCTAGCCTGCGGAACGATTTTAGAACAATTTTGTTGTGCGGGATAATTCACCACGCATAAATAATTCGCTTTTCCGTCTCAGCATTATGAATAAACTCTTCAAAGCGCACATAATTTAGTCCAGAACATGGCAAATTGGGCAATCTTCAAACCCAAGAATTCACAAAAAAAATTCAAGGTAAGATATCTTTTTAAATTTCAACTCAAGAAGTCGATATCTTCAATGGGTTATAAAAAATTTTTGTTGAAATTTCTTATTTCGATCGGTGAAAATTGACTGAGTAAAAAAACCACATCGAGCATAAATATTCTGTTTTCTTCGAAAATCGGAACAACAATAGATCTTAAATACGTAATTCCAGATAATCTTTAAAGAATTTACTCAGTTCGAGCAGGCTTGTTGCGGAACCAGCTTGCAAACCAAAAATACACAATTCGGTCTCGTAATGTAAAATTTATATCTTTTGGTTTATACTGATTTTTAGAATGGCAGTGAATAAAAGGAAATGAACAGGTGCAACCTTAACTTAATCTGATTAGTTATTTGGCAAGAGCAATAACTATTTCGTAACCTTTTTCTATCCGGTTTTAGTTTTTACAGTTTTAATATATTCCAGCAACCAAATTTTTGCATATTTTGCTGAGTTGCATTTTCTCCACTTATTTTGATTTTTCACCACTTCATAACAATAGCATTTTTTGTTGCAATTTTGACTATTCAGCATATTAAGTTATCTAATCGACATAAACAAATTGTTTTGTTCACTTTCAATGGCAGTTCCTTAAATTTTAATACTTTGTCGTTTTAACGTTCCGACCACAGTTGTTTCAGTTTTCAGTTGAAAAATAAATTCGAATACCTTTTATACTTTAATAATCAAAGTATTAGTGCTATTCAAATTTATTTTTTAAAAACTAAAAATTGAAACAACTGTGGTCGGAACGTTCTTCGGTTCTTCACATTTCAATTAATTGATTTATTTCATTTAATAGACCTGAGCTCAGGGGCGGATTTGGGGGGGGGGGTGCGGGTTCGGACGCCCCTCTCTTCATGGATTCGACCCCCTGCCGCCGACCCAAAGGGTCCCCCCTTTGTACTATTTTGAAATATCCTTGTTTGATGACGGACCCTAAAAATTTTCCTAAGGCGCCTTGGGCGCCAATATATACTAATTTTGAGGGGGGAGCGCGCGCCGAAAAAACGCAATTTTTTGGTCAAAATTTTCTAAAATGCCACTTTTTTGGCCTATTTTTTCAACATTTTGCCTGCGGCGCAATAAATTTGACCAAAACAGGGTCTCTTTAATGCTTTGAGTGAGCTCGGAAAATCAGTTTGGTCGACAAAAAAAAGGTGGACAAAGTTTTCGAACATTTTTTGAAACGCCGCCCCCGCCCCCCTCGAGAAAATCTTAGATCCGCCCCTGCCTGAGCCATTAATTACTAAATATTTGTTGGAAATAGAGCAAACTTTATGATCACCAATTTTTCAATACCACGTTTGTCTAAATATAAGAATTATGAGAACTTATTGTTTCTTAAGCCTTTTAGTTTATGGATGGGTTTTAAGCTGGGCCAATAGCAACAGCCATCCTGAGGCCAATTTAAGAAACGATTTACTGCCAAAAGATCATCATCCCTTAAATCGCCCTGTTCAAAATCTAACCACTGTTACTGTCGTGAATTACGACGCTTCTCTTTACCAGTTAGTTGGCTTCAACTCGAAAGACGAGTCTATAGAACTGTTGACTTTTCAGCGATTGACTTGGCGCGATGAGTTCTTGATTTGGGATCCAGCAAATTATTCTGGGCTTGAGAAGATCCGGTTCAGTCAACTTCAAATATGGACGCCTGACGTTCTTCCGTATAATGAAATAGGCGATTTAGATTACGACAGATTCGTACTGACCGTGCCTATTCTTGTAAACTCTTCTGGTCACGTGATTTGGTCTCAGCCAGTTAACATGGAAACTACTTGCTCGATGGATGTGACGAATTTTCCATTCGATTCTCAAACTTGTGAAATCGAGTTTGGATCGTGGCAGTACGATTCGACAGAAGTGATGATGTCTTGTGTCAATGAGCTGGATTTGAATGACTATATACCTGATACTCTATGGGAGCTACAAGGTACGTTTGAATGTCTTTTTAATGGATATTATTAGAATAACCGATATGCTTAAGACTACCTAAGGAATCTATTTTGTAATTTTTTGTTAGCTTTGACTCCGATGACATTTTGGCTAGAAGACCAATTAACTCGTTTTGTATAAATTGTCTTTCTGTTTTGAATGATTTTCTATCAAAGAATTACTATTCTTAGAAACTTCGTGTCGAGAGCGAACATCGCCCACAAATCAAGGTCGGAATTTCAGCGACGCAGTTGTAACTGTGACCTTCAAACGACTCCAAACATACTTCGTGATCAACTTAGTAGTTCCCACAGTTCTACTTCTGGGAATCAGTTCCCTCACTTTCTTCATTCCGGGAGAAATTGGGGAGAAACTCAGCTTTGGTGTGACGGTTACTCTCTCGCTTTGTGTCAACTTGACAATTTTCACAGACTTTATTCCGATGACATCGACAACATTTCCCAAGTTGTTCTCGTATATTCTTTCCAGCATTGTTTTATCTTGCATCTCAATGGTTTTGGCAGCAGTTTCTGTTAATTTTGTCAAGATCAACAAAAACAGCAACGATGAAAACAAAACTAAAGCTTTCGAAGCACCGTTCACAAATATGGCACTGAATGAGCTTGCAAATCGTGCTTCCTCGAATAAAATTGAGGAGAAGATGACACTAAGGAAAATTGATACAATTATTGGGTTCATATACCTTGTGGGAGTCACCGCCTACTCTGTTCTTTTTTTCATATCAATGAGTGTTTGAATGAATCTTGATTGTAGCGTTAACTATACATATAATAGTGTATAGTCTCAAGTTTAACAAAAACCTCAAAACTATATTTTTCACGGGTTGATGTACTCAATTTTTGTATCGACCGTATGCGTCGACCGAATTTCCCCTTTTCAACACAGGTTATATAGGTCAAGCAAAAAATGTTTCGATACATGAGTCGATCAGGGTCAATCATTGTCGACCGAAGTTGATACATGAATCGACTGGGGTTTAAAAAAATAAACAATTTGAAGAAACGAATTACGTCATAAAAAACATAAAAACCATCATTAAAAGGAAGAAAAAACTAACAAAATCTACAAAAAAAAACTTTTTTCTAATCAGTTCACAATAGCCAAAAACAATGAAAGATTAATTTAAAAACACTTGCAAGGTCGACAATATTCAGAAAAGTCGGATCAATTGAGCAATCTCCCTCCCGTGATGACCAATTGAGCTATCTCCCTCCAAGAAAAAACGATAACAGGCTACAAACAGTTGCCAGCCAAAGCAAGTAGAAATTTAATGTGTTCTTAGAACGCAATCATTTGACCGACTGAAGTTTACTTTATACGAGTATCAAGAAAAATTTTGAAAAAGTAAAATAATCGAAATTCAAGAAACTTTTTTTTTGCAAATTTTTATTAGGGCAAATCGAGGACAGCAATTTCCCAGGGTTGGTGTTCTAGCCTTGTATCTGAGTATCAAAAACTGCTCTCTGCGGCACCTTATTTCTTATTTTGTACGCAATAGCTTTTTTATTTCAATTCGGGCAGAAAAAAGTCGCTTTATGTGTCCCAGTTTTATAGCCGCTTTATGTGTCCCATCTTATTTCACTCTGAATGTAATTTTTGTGCTTTGATTTTGTAAACTTTGGCTTTCCACATTCATTGGAAAATTAGGTTCATGATTTTATATCAATCAAACTATTTTAAGATTTTTTTTCAAAACGGACAGTACATATTTCGACCACTTCAATCCGGCTTAATTGCATGGTTCAATCTAGACTCTCACCATTTGGAAACTTTGGTTTTCAAAAAAGTTTTCAAAAAAAGTCCATTGTTGATTAGCACATGTTTTTAAGTTACGACCAATTACTTCAACTTGTTGGCTTAGCTTAAAATCTGCACGAATGATTTTGAGGATGACCGCTCAGCTACCATAAAGCTCGACTAGCATAAAAGTTTGAAAAATATGGAAAAGTATCGACTAGCATACTTTTTATAGCAAATTGTCTCAGAAACACAAACAACAATAATATTTCGTCCAAATTAAAATGTGCATTCTGAGAAATAGAAATTTGATCAACTGAGAAACAAAACAATCAACAAGCAAATGAATTTTTTTGCCTCATAAATTGTGATCAGTCACACCCCGATCTGTAATGACTTGAACCGAATACTGATTGACGCGCAAATTTTGGCTTGTGTGAAAAATTTGATTTAAATATAAGGTTTTGTGTGTAACGGTTTTAATTTTGACGATTAATGAACTTTGTGTTTCGGTATTATGCTACTCGATACGATTTTCAATTTTAAAACGTTTATGCTAGTCGAGTTTTATGCTAGAGGATATGTCGCCAAGTTTGAGGAGTCTCTATCAGTATTTACTTTTCTAACTAATTTTGTAGCTTTGTGAGAACGAAACGTTTTTCAGCCTAAGTATTTCCGGGAGGTATTCTCGTGATGGAGGGACGGAATGATGGAATTTGTTTAAAATTAAAATTGCTAGACGTTCCTATTGGCCAAATGATTGACCAAAGTGATTCTAAAGTATTGAATTTTTCTATACAAGTCGTGCCGATATACAATAACTTTTTCAAACTTTTCCTTAAACTGGTTTTATGTTTTTTTTTATTATCCGACATCCATTTCGCAAAATTTGAAATTTGAATTGTAGTTCTGCTTATTTTCAAAGCTGTCAATATGATTTTCAAAGTGGTCAATATTATTTTCGCTTTTTCGCTGGGATTTTTGCGATTTCTTTGATTTTTTTGAAACTCAATAATGATTGGCTGAAAAAAAACTGAAAAAAAGTTCCAACTTTCGATCCCTCCATTATACGGAACGCCACCTTATTTCCATCAGTTTGCTGCATTAAGGTGGAATCCATTATGCGTGATATTTTTTAACCCAATCAGAACTCAGTACTTTAAAAAATAAAAAGAAAACAGCATAAAGTCAGTATCTTTTGGACATATTTAACGGCTCTGATTGTTTGAGAACTTTTGCACTTTCGCCTTTTCGCGCATGAAAAGAGTTTTTCTGTATTTAAGCGCGTAGCGACTGTCCTGCGTACCGCTTAGCATGCGCAGTTAAAGTAATATCTCACTTTGATGCAGCACGCATCAGCTTAAGTTTTATTTGCAAATAAGACAAACCAAACTCAGTTTTAATTGCGCTAATAGCCGCATGCCTAGCAGGCCGTTTCCCCCGTATTTGTATTGGTACTTACCTTTAACATGTTTATTGCCAGATTAATTTAGTTATTTAGAGAAGTCGTTTTCAAATAGCGTTTTCAAAAAGCGTGCACTGAGCAGTAATTCATCAGATCAGAAAGCATCCAATAGCTGAACGAATAAGTTCAACGATAATATATTTAACAGATTACTTTTACTCCCATGTTAAGTTTTTGTCGTGAAAAAGACTTCTGTACAAAACTTATTTCTCCTACATAAACTAAGGCATGGCCGTTTGATTGCTAAGGCATGTCCGCTTAAAAGTTTACTGAATTATTTTTAATTTTTTTTTAATCTTCTGAAAAAAACTTGCATAATTACTGGCGGTGAAATCACGTTTTGTTTGTTCTGCTTATGCTTTTTCTGCTCATGAAGCTGTTTTATTTCAGATCGGATTCCGTCTGTTTCATCAAAACTATAAGACGGAACACTAACTTTTGCTCCAAAATTTCAGATAACGGGACAAGTCAAATCTAGTATGAATGTTTGGATAAGATTAAATGAAAAAAAAAACTTGCATTTCTAAGAAATATTCTGCCGCAGAAGGCTTACCAAATTCAACTTCCGACCTTTTTGAAGGAGTGGTAAGAAAGTATGGCCTAGAATGTGTTTTGTGGGCCGAAAAAAATATCACATAAAAATGTATCGGATTTACAACAATTAGGCATATTCGGATTTTTGTAAGGGAATTACAAAAATCCGAATAAGCAAAAAAATATTTAAAAAGTTTGCTGGCGGTTCCAGAAGGGGGGAGCGCGCGCCAGGTCGAACAGATTAAATTGAGGTGCGACAGTCTCAAACTGACTTTAAATTTTTGGTTCACATTGTCTTATATGGGTGATTAAATTTATCTATAATTTAGTACCTAATATATGAATGGGGCAAAATTGGTTCAACTTCCTAATTTTTGTAGCTGTTTGTTACTGGGGCAGATCTAAAAGTTTCTCTAGGGGGATTTAAAAAAACAGTACTAAAGGGGGGACTCCTTATAATGAAGATAAAAATTGACAAGACGATGACAACAATGGTAATGATGATGAAGATGAATTTCAGTTTGACCTGGGTTGAAGACGCCAAAGATGAGTTGGATGAGAGCGAGGTCATCTTGAGGAGCCACCAGACCATTGCCTGCTTGGAAGCTGCACAAAATAATGGACAGATTAGATCGGGTTTAACCAAATCATCTGTTAAAAGGACCTTCCTCTACAACATTTTTGACAGGAAAAAAAAAGAAACCACTCATAATGATCAACAATTCACTTTTTGGTCTATCACTGAAAAACTGAAAACCCGTAATCGACACTGCGCATTTTTTGAAAGTTTTTCCACTAGAAAATCATGGCCAAAAGAGCTTCATTGAATGGAATAAAAAACTCCATCTTCACATTTGATGAGTGCTTATAGATTATAGATTCAATATTCTTATTGAGCCCACCATTTAAAAAATGGGGAGGAACTTTGTATTCGGGTGACTGTTAATTTTTTTTGCTTTTTGTTTTCCATGCAAAATCAGGTACCACAAATAATTATCGGACTGAGTCGAGTACAATATCATATTAAGGTCTTTTCAGTCGTAAATTGAACGACATTTAAAAATTTGAAATTTTTCACAGTGTCGAGAAGAACCGGTTTGAAATTTTTAATTTTTGGTTTCAGTTCGAGCTAATAAGGTGATCGTATGTGCTAACAATAGCTTATTTAGGCTTAATTTCAGCCGTCAAAACGTAATTTTATTCAAATAAAGTTAGTTTCTTGAGTTTTTAGCCAAAAACTTGAAAAATCAAATAAATTTTGCTAAATTTGAAAAACTTCTGAAATTTTAATTTTTTTTCTAAGTTTTTTTGGTGTTTTTTTAGTGATTTTTCTTCAAAAACTGTTTTCCAATTGACGTTTTTTTTCTATGACTCTAAAATATGCTTAAATTTTTTTTTTTAATTAGAAATTTTTATCAGAACATACAGAATAAAAAAACTATTTTATGGATATTTTTAAGACTGTAGTCTTTTTTTTTTTTTCACGCAAACTCAGGCATCGCAAATGATCTTTGGACTGGGTTGGGTGATATATCATATTAAAATGCTTTCAGTTGTGATTCAAACCACCTTATAAATCTCCTAAAATTTTTCTTGTAGTGTTGAGAAAAACCAGTTCGAAATTTTTTTTGTCTTATTCGAGCAAATAAAGCAAGCAAGCAGGCTTACAGCAGCTAAGTTATGCCTAATTTAAAACCTCAAAATTTATTTTTAAGCAACTTAAACTAGTTTTTGGAGTTTTTTAGCTTCGTTTTGGGAACTTTTTCTTTTCAATTTTTTTTGTTTTTCTTTTCATTTTTCTGCAAAAACTTTTGTCCAGTTTGCTTTTATTACTATGACAGTCTAATATTCCTAAATTATATTCTTACGTCAGAGCTTTTTATCACACCAAGCAGAAAAAACTACACTAATTTGGAAAAAAAAACACAGTAACCCGTTATTCTTTTTGCATTTGTTAACAAAGCTCCAATCAGTTTCTTTCGACTATTATTTAAATTAATTACTTGGATACTGCCAAAAATTTCTTTTAGAAAAAAAACACCTGGTCTTCTTATACATTTAAAAATTTATCGTTTCATCTGGTACTGCCGTAATTTTTAGTTGGGTCACGTGATAAAAAAAAGTTACAAATAAGAAAAGACAGTGTAAATAATTAGTCAATCAAGAATTCATCATTAGTTGTTTGAAAACAAAACTTGTTGGAAAATGCGCCTATTGGCGGGGCAGTACAACAGTGTCGAAGTACAACAGTGCCGAAGTACAACAGTGCCGAAGTACAAGACTGCCGAAAATGCACCTTGTGCAGAAGTATAACAGTGACGAAATACAACACTGCCATAAAATTAACATTGTATGTTAAACTGTTGAACTAATTTTCTTCAGTTTCGGCACTGTTGTACTTCTTCACTGTTGTACTTCGGCACTGTTGAACCCTCCCCCCTATTGGCGATTCTTACCTGCCCATGATGATCCACCTTCTGGGCCTGAGGAACAATCCACTCCTGAATCTGTTCGGAAAGTCCGCAGTTTCCACACGGAGTAACGCAGCTAAACAAAAAGTCACAAACATTTACTAGCAAAACATGAAAAAAAGCGCAAAGAATTGTCACGTGATGTACTTAAAAGCGGACATCGGACCTACGAGGCCGGATCAGGAGTTTTTATGCGGCCTAATATTCATTAAAAAACTCATACCAAATAATACTCAAATTATGAACTTCGTGAAAAATTTGAAAAAAACAGACCAAACGCCGAAAAAATGAGTTTTTTAGGAGTGCTCTCCCCTCAAACAAAAACTGTTGAAGTTAGGCTGGGACTGCCAAAGCTGGTAAAAATTAGGCTTGGACTGCAAAAATGGGCGTCATAAAATAAAACCACATGGAGACCCTTGGGGGGGGGGTCGAGTGTTTTATAGATGCGAAGTCCTCCCCCAAATCCACTACGGCCTGCAGAAACAGGAAAAAAGTCTACTTGTCTCCAAGGAACAAAACTATATCTTGCAATTGCTATAAAGTTATTCAGGAGGAATTTTAATTTTATACGCAAGAAATTTTTTCGAACAAAAATTCTTTTAAGTAATATACGACTTATTTAACTTGCTCCTATTTGAATTTTAGTTTTCAAAAACTTAATCAACAATGTCATTTTGTAACAAAAGTTTGAATGGTGAACAAACTAACTATTGTAGAACAGGTTGAGCGGAAAAGAGTCTAATATACGCACGGTTTTCTCCCTGCAAACAGGATGCCGCGGTCAGGATCCATAGGTGATGTATGAAGACTCCTCCGCAGAACTCATTGGACCCCTTGTACTCCACCCTCACGTAGAACTTCCGGTCGCCGATGTCACTGCCTCGGAGGATTGCAGACTGCAGGGAATCCTGCAACAAGTTCTCTCGATCCTCCTCAAACTCCTCGAAGTCATCGACATAAGACGATACCTGATGACATAAAAGAACAATCGCAGCTAATAAAATCTGTTTCAAATCCATTTTCTCTCCTTTTTAGAAATAGTTTTAAGTTAGTTATTTGCTCTTCTGTTTAATAAAAGTGATGGCACAAAAGTGATTGTTTAACAAAATTTATTTGGCAAACCTTGAATTAAAATCTACTTTTCGAAATTTGGAAGCAATCAAAATCAATATTTTGATTTGGTGAGTTGATATTTACTTTCTACCGGCAATCAATTTCCTCAAATATCAGTATATGATGAACACTGCAAGTAAATTTAAATACAAAAGGTAAACTGTTACCAACGATCATTTCAGTTGATATTTGTGGTTGAATTTTAATCAACAATGTAAGATTTAAGCTTTTCTAATGGGAATATTGAATTAAAATCTGAAAAAGGTTTCAAGATATTTTGAACTTTAACGCAAAGGAACCAGGAATTTTAAAATGTTTTTGTACGTTGATGTTTTATCGATGCACTGATTTTTTTTCAATCCGTCTTACGTATTGAAGGACTAATTGAAATGGTAGTTTTCATGATGAAATTAGTTAGCAAGCAAAACTGAGTTCCAGCATTGAAAAGAAATTTCATTTGCTTGTTGACATTATTTTCGCATTTTTCTATTCCCAGAAATGCAAGTTTCAGTTTGAAAAGATTCTTTTTTGTCGCTTCGTTTTTTGCTTTGGCTAGTTGAGCATTTTATGCTAGTTGATGCTAGATGAGCATTTTTATGCTATTTGAGAGAAAGTTTGTAAGCTACTCGAGCTTTATGCTAGCATGCTAAGCGTTTTTAACGATTATTTCTCATACCATCTGAGAAATATTGTTATCCTAAGCTCAAATTAAAAAAAAAATTCACCAGTGATCATTTTTTTATAAAAAAAATACGGGGGTTTGAAAATTGCTAATTTGGCCATTTTGTGATGAAATGAAGACGAAAAATTCTTCTTTTTTCGCAAATATTTTGTTTATTATTCAATCGAAAAAAATTCTCAATTGGCCTAAAGTGCAGTCTAAATACTCAAGGATTGCCTTGATATACGAGCAGTCTTGTTGTGAAGAATAAATGCCGAAACTTTACTTAAGTGAGAATAAAATACTGTTAAGCTTCTTGCTACGCAAAAACTTTTATTCCGATACTTTTTAAAAATTGGATAAAGAGTTTTCTTGAAATTAATATTTCTTCTTCCAGATTAATGAAAAAAATAAGAAAATGCCACAATAAGGCTCCACTCAAGTACGTAAGATTGTTTAAAAATTTGTAGATGACCGTAGAAAAGATAATATAAACGAGCATGTTGATGAGTTCGTCTAACCTGTTTTTTCTTATGATCCAGCCTCTAGCAATACGAGGCCAGACTATGCACTGCCCGGGTTGACATCCATAGACCAAAATGCTAATCATACAATTCCATAAACTAAGTCTATGAAAAAATACTACTAAATCGTGTAACGTACTAAATAAAAAAAACTTTTTGTCAAAAAAAAACTAATCATACAATTTCTATCTACGAAAAATGTATGACTAGCATTTTTTGATGGCGACGACAATTTTTTTGTGTTTTTTTTTCAACCGCAAATTGATTTTCAATCTCAAACGAACAGTTTTTGAAAAAAAAATTTTGCATGAAAAATTTAATTTTTGTGTGTAAAACGTAGTCCTTGATATACTAATGTTGGATTTTTTTTCCTTTTCTTTTCATAACTTTTTTCAAAAACGCTTAAAACTCCTCTTTCTTTTGCATGACATGTTTTTGTATGCCTTGATCAATGTCTGGTAATTTAAAAATTCAAATTTTAGAAATGATCATCTTCGAAATTTTTTGCCAAAATTTAAAAATTCGTTACTTTCGTTATATTTTTTGTGTGAGACAGAATGAAACATTTCAGGCTGTTTCCAATGCATTTTTAATGCGGGACGGCCATAATTTTGGTTACTACGTTTGAGTAACCAAGGTTTATGTCATTTGTGTTCGGTTACGAACACAAAAAAATTTTTTGAGAAATTAAAATGTAAAAAATCAATATTTTTGGTTTATGGAAAAATACTAGTCATACAATTTCCATATCTGAAAAAATAATGATCATAGACTTTTCATGCAATTTTCTGTACTTATCGAATTGCATGAAAAGTGTATGATTAGCATTTTTCCATATATGAAAATTGTATGACTAGCATTTTTGGATAGGCGCACAATTCTGTTTATGTATGTTTCTAAAATCCAGAGACAAGTTTTTAAACATGTTCAATTTTTGTCGGAACGATCAGATCAAAAGAATTGAAAGAACAAAAGAAGAACAAAGTCCTTGTTGCGGAATACGCTTATATTTTCCAAAAAGCACAGTTTGGCCTCGTAATGAGGCCTGAAAAACAGTCCCCTTCTGAATCCATTTGCGAAATCTGCCGTCGCCTCCACTTGAAAAAGCCCAGCTAAAAGAGACTAACAATATGTAACAAAGAAAGAGAAAAACAAAAAACTTAAATGTTTTATTTTAGTTTTCTAGATTTGCTACGACTTGAGGAACACAAAAACATTTATCTTTAAAAGTTGAAATGATCAAATATTCGATTTTGAAAGCCTGACAATCAGGATGAACTGAACTGACGAATCTTTTCATTTGTTTGAAGCCCTTGGTTGAAACTCTTGAAATACATTCGCAAAACATTTAGATAATTTTTCCCTCTCACGGCTATGTGGAGTTAGGCAAGTTGCGAGTTAGTCCAAACTGAATGAGTCAAGCCAAAACTTTTCAAATAAGTTTTTGTCTAGCTCTCCAATCCTGAGCGTTGAGATAACATGAGCTTTGAGAACAAAACTGTGACACTTTGGAATCATCATGTTGCAGTATCTGTCGATGCGCAGAACCGGATGGCTGAAAACGCATGAGTGATGCCGCTAACCATGGGCACGTGCTTGGACAGTGCAAAAGATTTATGATATTAAAGTGAAAAAGTATACAATGAACTTGAAAAAAATCCAAATTTTTTTTGAACAATTGAACACGTTTCAATATTCGTTGGAACATGTCACGGCTCTTTTTCCTTCCCCCCACCTGCAAAATTTTACTAAAAAACTTTTTTTTTTTGCGTTATCCGAATGTTACGAAAGTTGGTATGCGAACTATTTAGGCCATGACAAACATATTTGGTCCTCATGGTTAAACTTGTAAAACCCCTCGTTACATTAAATTGATGCTTATGTGAGGTGGGGGGAACAGGAAAAAGAGCCCATGTCACACACAACTACGGTCAGTTTACTAGAAACCATGCTTTAAGCAACGTTATATACAGAACCAATCAAAATAGGGCTCCAAGAAAACACCATTTGTTGGTCACTTCTAAAAGGGTTCCACTTTTGCATAAATTGAATGTAATTGCATAAATAAAGAACGAAATAGCTGCCAAACAACATTTATGTCAAAATCCGTACGCGTCAATTTCCATAACGGGAAGCTTTGAACATATTTTTGACTGTTCCATTCTTTATGGATCAACTTTTCACTAGCTTAACTCGCCATATTTGAAATAAGAAACAAAATTAGGTAAATTATTCTCTTCCAAAACGTGACTAGATTTTGGGTGGGAGCAATTTCTGAACTTCATTGAGAATTTTTGGACATGAAGCTTAACTAATCGCTAGAAACAAGTTTCCAGACGAGCGAAGCAAAACTTTTCATCATTCCAAGTTTTTAATCTCTTTGCAGCGCTTTGTTGACCACTTTGAAACCAAACTTTGGTGTCTCTGAATCACGTTGCCGCTCAAATTAAAGTCAAATAAATTTCAATGTTATTGAAGAACTGCGGTTGAATCAAGAAAACGTTGGAACAATTGGAAAATATTTTGAACGGATATTAAATTTTTCCCCACAATCCCATATTTATGCGGATGTATATTTATATTTATTACTTAGTTATAATCATACTGTGCCTTTTGTCTATCCCCTCCATTTTGTTGATTTAATAATTTAAATAAATTGATGCTTGTATTATCAACTATATGGAGAAATAAATTCTTCTTCTCATTCTTCTTTTTAAAACAAAGCTACCAAAAAAGCCGTAAATGACAAACTGGCATAAGTTTAGCTGAATCTTCTATGTATAGATCATCTCTCAATTCTTTTATTTTGACAGACTTGAACCTGAGTGCCAAACTGGTCAAAAAAACCCTCAGGGCACAATCGTTGAGAATTGGTGTTAAGCCAGGCCAAAATAATTTCTGGAGCCTTTTGGGGAAATTAGAACAATACGAGGCCAAACTGTGCACTGGATAGGCGCACAATTTTGTGTCTGTGGGTCCCTGGATTCCATAGACAAACCTTTAAGCATGTTTCATAAGGTCAGTGGCTTCCACTTACAAAACTTCTGTGGATTCCGCGTACAAATACCTGTAACGTAAATTTTGTCGGCGCATTTGTTGTGCCGCGGATTCCGCAACAATCGAAAATAGCTAGTTGTTCTGGATTCGGCAACTGAAAGTGGATTCCACAAATGAAAGTGGAATCCGCAAATGTAAGTGGAATCCGCCAAATTTGTTAGCGGAATCCGTAAACTGTAAGTGGATTCAGAGTTTTTTTTAATTACTGAACTTGCATATGAACAATTAAAAACTCGAGCTGGAATTCTCATTGGATTGAGAGTGTACGGAAATACCACACAGCATATCGCCAAATTAGGTCAGTACTTGAGATTGCGTCAACGCCAAATATTGATTTTGGAAGCAAAACGCCGAATATATTCAATATTTGTAGTCATTAGGTTAAGAGTGTATGGAAACACAACACACAGCATATCGCCAAATTAGGTCAGTATTTGGGATTACGTCAACCCCAAATACTCATTTTGGAAGCATAACGGCAATTAAATCAATAATTGTAGTCATTGGGTTGAGAGTGTTTGGAAACACAACGCACAGCATATCGCCGAACAAGGTCAGAATTTGAGATTGCCTAAATCAAAAATACTGGTCAGTCTTTAGGATTCCATCAGTCCCAACAACTGATGATTGAGTAGTTTCAGATTCTAGTGAGTTGAGATCGAAGTTGACAGGATTTCAGATCGAGGCTGCGTTTACAGGAACGGAGACGAAACGTTTGGTATTTCAACTGGTAAATGATCAATGTAGTAATTGAGATTGTTTTTTTTTCTGGTGACGGGTACTTACAAA